TAGCGTCGTGGACACAGGCCTTTACGCAATTGCACAGACGCTCTCGTTTTCCCCGAGCTAACATCGAGATGTGAAAACGTTACTTTACGCGTTAATGTTTGTATTAAATCGTTCCATAGTTAAATTAAATCATTCCATAAGTATGACGGCTTTTTGGAAACAAGACAAAAACTTAACATTTGAATCCAAAATCTATTTTTCGCTATTATTTTGCAACTTCTTCCTTAGTCTTGAACTTTCAATTTCCTGGCGATAAAAGTCTTTCAGTTTTGAGCCATTATTTTGCAACTTCTTCCCATCTTACAATTAGTCTTGAACTTTCAATTCCCAGGCGATAAAGGTCTTTCAGTTTTGAACCAGAGGATAAATCAACCTTTTACACCGCGTTATTTACGAGACGACCCAAATGGTTCCGTCCCGATTAATATCGGCAGCGATCGTCTTACGCGGGTTGATCTTTGTGAGAATGAGCGCTCGCCGACGAAGAAATCGCGCGCGATGGGCAGCGCCGGGAACGGCGCGGCGCACGTGATGCACCGCGCGTCTCGCTCTGATTCCGGCCGCGTGAAAGATCCCGACGTGATTTCGCCTAGTCGTCGCCTTAACGTCAGGCGAAAACTGCACGACCGCCATCGATTTGTTATTCCGGCGACGCGCGGGACGAAAGTGAATCGATCGCCGTCAGGACTAAAGCCTATTCAGACGGAACAATTTCCAAACCGCGGCGAAAAGTCCGCTGAAACTTGACTATAGAATTCGCGAGTAAACTTTTAACTTCTTTAAGTAAACTCTTAGATTTGAAAGATCACGTTTAAAAGCTTTAATTTCATTTAAAGTGAATTTTCCCAAAGGATAGAGCGGCTCCGCGCTCTCAATTGTCGATTTTCGATGTACTCTTCGTAGGATAAATATTTTTGTACTGGTAGCTATGCATTTTTGATTGCATTAAACTGCAAATGTACATAAAGGTGACATGTGTCGCGATATTATTGGAAAATGACACTTCGCGCGAACGAAATAATTTTTGTATTGAGCGCAACGCATTCCTTCTAAATCGCCCTTTAAATTTCATGCCGGCTGTTGGCGCACCGCCTCTACGCGTCGCACGTGCGTCTTCCGATGACGTGCTGGACTTGTTAATGAAACGCGATCCGCCGTGTCGTAGAAGGAGAAAAGAGATCCCGAAACACAAATCGCACGCGCGAGAGAATCGCCACGAGCGGGTTTCACTGCCAAGGTGGATCTACTTGCGACGCGTAGAAGTAGACTTCGATGCCTAGGTAGGCGATGTCGAATCGAAATGCTTTCTCCGCTGGTACAGAATTTTTCATAAACTTGAAGTTGAGCAGCAATTTTGAACTATAAGAGATAAATTGCGAACGATAATGTAGAGGTAGAGCGGAAATCTATATAAGTTTATATTTTTATTTTATATTTCTATTATCCCTTTTCGTAAAGATGTAACCTTATAAATAATATACGCATCGCAAGATACGTAGACGTACGATTATCAATGCCAAACGTAATACCGTCAACCGAGGTAACATGCGCGGTTTTGAATAACGAGTAACAGACTGCGGTAATAAATTGAAGGAAAAATTGTAATTTTCATAATTGCACGATTGCCGAGGTATCCACCAGAAACGGGAATGTGTTGCAAAAACGAATTGATTGCATTAGGAGCAAAGAAATATTCACGAACGTACTTTCCGCAGTTCACATCTCGCGTTGCTGCTTCAGCTTTCAAGTGAAACTTCCGAAATTTTGTGAATGAAAAAATTTTGGAAAAGTTGAAAGAACAGGCAAAAGATCACGTATTGCGTTCAAAAGACGAACGAGATAGGTCGGAATAGATTTCGAGTCTAATACTTGAATTCCGGGTCAGCTTCTAATGCTCGAGGCGAATCGGACAATTACGTTGCGTCGCTCGTGGGTCCAAGTGCCCTCGCGACATTAATTTCGAATGCAACCCTTGTACCGTGATTTGGTATGACCCTTGTCGCGGTTAAGGTCTTCGGAGTCGTAAAGGTGACGATGGTTCGTAGCATATTGATTCTGTGTTATACATGGCGTTATCGCACATTACTTATAGTGTTTATTAGCGCGTGTTAACAATCACAGATAATGGTTGATTAGAGGTGAGCGGCTTCAAAAGTATTGCTCAAGGCGATCCGAAGGCGCGCGGACATTGAAGTTATATAATCATATGGGAAGGTTACTTGTGAGAAGCTGGGAAAATGTTACACTATCGTAAAGCGCTTTCTGCTTAAATTACGAAGACAATTGGATCATATTCGGAATATTATTTAAGACTTTTACCGAGTTTTCATGTGCTTCGCGTCTTTTATCGCAGGCATTATATGCGGACGTTATCGAATCACGGTAATTGTATGATGTAAAGCGCGAGAACGCGAAGGAGATCAGACAAAACCAACGTGAGCTCAAGATTAACATAAACAGCGATTGTCTCTAATATAATATAAAAGCGCTTAATTAGTTTAATTTTAACGGCTATTTACACTGGATGCAATGACTAATAGCGAATTCGATTGCTTGCACTCGTGCGCACTGAGTGCATACTAAGACGTGTTTACAGTCAATTCTTATATTTAAGGATCGTATTAAATATCTCTTGAAATATTTTTCATTAAAAAAATGCTCTGTAGCGTTTATACGGGTCATCTTTTTGACTAAATACTCTTTAAACATGTATTTAAAACAAGGTTAAATACAGAATTGACTGTGAACTAGCCTTAGTGCAAGCAACCGAATTTGCCATAAGTAAATTTCCGCAACCGAACGCACGAGCGGGAAACGTGAGCCCGGCACCCGGAATCTGAGGATGAAATTCTTCAGAGCGCGACACGCGAAGTCTGTAACCGATTTCACTAACCACAAAGACGTTATCGTTTGTCTTCGAAAAGCACGAACGCAAGGAACACTTATCGCGGTCGTGAAAAAAAGTGTCTTCGAGCGCGAATCCGGCATCTCGACCAAATATTCAAAGATGTCTTTGAACGAAGAACGAGAGCACGGAAAGAAATCTGCGACGATGATAAGTTCAATTGGCAAAATTGCGAACAATTGAGCGACTGACGCGGAAGGCCCGAGCTTTCAGAACTACAGTTGTTTTTTAAAAGATCCTTCGCGGATCGCATTGTCGTTGAAAAACTAGCAGATGACAGATAATAATATCAAACAATTTTTGCAATATTGCGAGACACACAAGAGGTCTTCGTCACAATGCGATACGTTGCCTTTGTTTTTGCGACAATTTAATTTCGTTAACAAAATCAAAGGATTGAGCGATTCTTCGCTAGTTCAATATTTATTAACGTTACATAACGTTAATAAATAAACAGAACGGACGTCATAAAATAAATTAGTGTGATTTTAAATTATACAAAAACTTAAGAAAAATTTGTCGTAGGTTGAATTTCTAGCTTAATTTATCGTGCAACTTAAATTAATCTTCGTTTTAATAGTGACTCGACTTAAAGCTTAATCGTAATGAAACAAATGAAAAGGTTGCAACAAAACACAACATTCTTCTAGATGATCAAACTTTCCAAAGAATCCTGTAAACTGGTTTCTCAGATATTTTGATATATAATTCATTAGAGTGAACACGTCAGTCTTAAAGATTGTGGCTCGAATGTTCTAATACAATTGTCGTTGCCGAGTGGAAAGGAAAAAGATTTTCAGGGACTCCGCGCTCGAACGAAGAACAGCGCATCCTGCGTTACATAATGCATTAATCTCCATCGCGAGTCCCTGTAATCGCTCAATTACGTAAGTAATTTTCGTCGAGGCGATCAATCGACGACGCATCAAATTTCTGTCATTACATACCTATGACCGACGCATACCCAAGTGGTTCGTGTGACGGCAGGTCGCATTGTCAATTTACAGCCGCGTTTAGAAATAAGTATCGATCGTTCTATCATCTAGCCTTCTATTTTAAACGCTTCACTTCGATCGGTTATCAGAAGCTATATTGAGAGCACTAATTACACAGCATGCAAATGACTGCTCGTAACTTTCAGATGATAACGAGCGTTGTCAAGATCGCGATTAAAACGTTACAACTTTATTAAAGCGGGATTAGAATGAAATCAAATTTTAATGTACAAATGTCAATTTCATATTCCAAAGTAATTTTTGAAGAACGATTAAAATTTACGGGAAAAATTTCAAATAAAAAGGAAAATATCAGCAATAATGACGTAAGGTAACGTGGATGTAAAAATAGACGGATTCTTTTTTTTTAAATATAAATACTTGGTGCTGTTCCCTATATTTTAGTCGCTTTAAAAATCGCTTTTTTTTCACGTGACTTTTAATAAAACTGCGCGGATAGCTGAATTATATTTCAAACATCAAGATGTCGGAATCGCAGAGTAATCTGGCGCGCTAACGCGGTATTCGGTCTGGGCGATTGACAGGGCGGAATATTGGCAAATTGTACTTACCGCGACATGCGGTGCCGAGGGCCAGCAGGGTGATCCAGGTGATCATCATTTTGGAGAATGGCCGGGACGTCATCCGCGGTAACGCCGGCACATTTATCGCTGCGGTTGCGGTGCGACGAGCTGTGGCGACGACGGGACGGAAGCGTCGGCCGTCGCGACGTCGTACGCCGCACGTCGTAGCGCACGTGTACTGCCGCCGAGGCGTTTGCTCGCGTGCGATTTGTACTCGCGACGACGGCGCGACGACGGCGCATGTAAGGGCGTCCCCCTCTTGACGAGAGATACGAGCGTTCTCTGGCTGTCCGCCTTCCTCAGTGACTTGGATCTCTATCCGGTTCGCTACCTGAAGACCTGTCAGGTGCTCGACTCCGCCGATCGGTCGGCTCTCCGGCAATCGATCGCCGATCTCGTGGACGAGATCACCGTCGGCACGCGAAGGACCTTTGGTGGCTGCTTGTCAGACGATTGGCTGTATTGAATGGATAACATTAAGTTCCGTTTGGATATTTTTGGTACAACATTGCTATAGTATTCTTGCTGTTGTGTGTATAATATTTCATGCACGTAAAGTGCTCTGAAATGTCCCAGTTTAATTGTAAAATTTTCCGACAGACGCGAGGTTAACTTTATCTTAAAAAGAGACTCGAACGGACCATTCGTTAGAATCCTTTAATATTTAATATTAAATACGATAGTGATTAAATCCAGATTTGTATGATTTCGCAGCAATAATTCACTAATTAAAGGCATTAATGGAGGGTCTTATTGTTAAAATCGGAAACTTTAAGACAGTCTGTATAAATAATAAATTTTCATGCACGTGTTATCGAAACAGAGGGTGATAACATTGTTTTCGTTTCGTTTCCCTATCTCTCGCGTGCTTCATGCCAAATTTTATTCTGTCTGTATATTTGTACATATAAACTTTTATATGCAAATAACTTGGTGTCAAATATCTGTTCTATGATAACGCTTTAAAATCGTCCCGTCGAAATAGACCTCTACTCGCGTGATGGCGGTGATTTATGGAGCGATCGATGGAAAGAGGGTCAGTACTGCACAATGAATACTCTAATCCTTTGTGTGCGAAACAAGATTAATTATCCTAAATCTCTTGGCTTTGTTCTTTCGAGCGCGACTTCACTTTATCGCGTAAAAAGAATCAGAAATAGTCATAATGTATCGTGATAAGTCTTGACATTTTTGCCTTTTTATTTAATATTTTACCTAGAAAACTCGTCAAAGAAAAGTTAATATTTATATATTATAATGAAATTATATTAAAAATTGTAACTAATTATTCACAAATTATCACTTAAAGTAGCATTTCCCATTCGCTTAAATGTTACAAAATAAAGAAACAAATATACAAAAAGAATTTAAAAATTATAGACTTAATTACACTTTTCAGTTTTATATAATTTCCCCCAACTACAATACTTTGCCAGTGAAATACGGATTGGCGTCCGCAATTTTATCGTCTACTCATTAGTGTTCAATAATCGAGATCTCTCAATTCGTTATTTTTCGATTCTTCTCTGGCGGAAAATACGCTCGATATTACCGCGTTCCCGTAACTCTCGCAACAAATGGAATCGCAGCTGCTATTGGTAGTAATCGCGTTCTTAACATGGGCGGGTCCACTCAAGCGTAAAGTAACATGGCTAATTACTGGATTGCGCTCCTAATTAGCATATAATGGATCGCAAAGCGATCGTAAACAAGCAATCGTCTAAATATAACGCCGGTTTTAAATAAAACCGCACTTGCGGATACATTTCCTTGAACTTTCCATGGTTAACGGAATGCCAATTAGCCAGGCTGATTCATCGGATTATGGACAGTTCGCGAGCGAGGGTGGAATATCAGTTTGCATAAATATCGTGGAATTCCTTAAAACCGGCCGTTACTTCGATCAGCGATTTATGTTTGCCTTGTACTTTTCTTGATCTTTCAGAATTATGCCAAGATCTCAGACGGTCATAACTCAAAGGTATTATCCGAGTTTTTATGCGGAGAGTATGTGAAACAATATTTATGTTACTAATGTGAACAACTGCGTATTGTTAAATAATAGTGCAGTCAAATAACAGTTAACACAATTATCTGCCAACAATTATTATTAGCTTTGCGATAATCCTAAAAACTAACAATTGAAACAAAAATGAGAATATAAGAGAAAATATGTCTGAGAATAACCTGCGTTTTTTTGTAAGGAACCAACTTCTCAGAAGGAAATTGAAAAGAAAATCTGACATCTGTACTCGCGATAAGGTTCCTTTCTTTGCGGAGTCAAGTTCCCCGGCAAGGCGCTCGTGTTTTCTGATTCATCCTACTGCATTCAAGTGGCGATCGTTTGAGCCACGCGCATACATCCGATCGCTCACGCATCTCTATTAACGTAATACTGTCACCATTATCGCGTGCGCATACGAATACCGTGCATTAAACGCCATCCGCTCGTGCGTTTTCCTCATTTCTACTTGACGCAAAAATATCTCCTGCGTCAAGCACGCTCGTAATTTCCAATTCGTGGATGCTAATTGAAATATTTACGATATTATCATGTCTTACCGCATCATAAATTCATCAATATGATTAACACTGCGTCTTAATCCGCTTCGTAGCCTCTACACTTCTTAATATATGCATCGCGTCCTGTCACGTCTTAAATTCACTTATCAATTAATTTCCCGTCTATCAGAATTATTAATTGATCGTTGGAACGTCCTTTTAAGTATTGATGTTAATATCTAAATACTTTCCTAGAGACTGTTTCAAAATATTTCTATAAAAATTGCTACAAAATGCCTTTCATTTCGCAAACACTTCTTCTAAGATCTATTGTCTTTTTCCTTTTATTTCATTTCTCTTTCTCCCTCTCAAAAAGAGAAAGAGAAAGGGTCATAAACTAACAATCGTGACAATTTCGCGATTCCGCTACTTTCTTGAAAACAAACCAGTATCGCCTCTAAAAAATTTATGAAATCTTTTCGTATTCTCGACTTCTTTCTGCTTCTTTTTTATTTCATTACTTTTCCGTCATTTCATTGCCAAAATCGTGTTAGTTAATCGTCAATTTGCCAATTTTATTTCGGAAAGCGATAGTATTCGGGTGTAATTGTATTTTCGACATTTCCAACATTACTCACTGTATTTTTCTGATCTCGGAAAGTATCTCCTCTCTCCTCGATTTCGTTTAAAAAGTGAAGACTTTTTACTGCTCTTCAAATTGAAATATTCGTTTTCTCAGGTAATAAATGCTAATATTCGCAGAGGATCTTCAGCACTAGACGTTCCGCAGTTCAAACAGCAGAATGCGAATTTCAAACGATGCAATTGTGGATCTCTCGATCCCGTCGACATCCGAATTACTCATCAATGAGTACACCAGGCGCGTCTTTAAAATGAGAGATTCTCGACGAAAGACAACGCGTCTGTCTCTGTCAGTACCGTCAAAGGAGAAAAAACTCGAGTGTCCTATTACCGAGTACGCGTACTCGACACGTCTGTCGCGCAAAGTGTCCGCACTACGATCGCACGTAGAAAATACGCGTAGGCAGCTCAGTGCCAGGTGGACCTCGTCGCGGACTCTCTCTTACCCGGCAGAGACTCGAGTACCCGGATACACCCGGGCCCGCCGAACGAGTACTCGCGGGGGTGATCGCGGGGCGCGTTTCGCCCGCTGCACCGAGTCAAAATGAAAAGTTGTCCCGGGCACCGGTTCCGCGGACGGTACGTCCGCTGGTATCGAGTACCGGTGGGTATTCACGCGGGGTGTCCGCCGCGCGCGGAGTGCGGAGTGTCGTGTACTCGCAGAGTGGTGCACCGACTACAACTGTAGGCGGCTCGACGACGGTCGTCGCCGACCGCGCACCGGCGCGACTCCGGCCGGCCGCAAGTGGGGGTCCGTCCGTCCAACGTTAACCGGGGGTACGTGCGTGCCGTGGGATCCCGAGGGGGGCCCCTACCTCTGTCTCCGCTGACGGCGCCGACGGGGGCCCTACCGAGGCTCGTCACCCGTGACTCCACCTCCCACCTGACGGCCCCCACAGATAACCTCCGCCGAAGGGTATACCTCCTCGTGAAAGACGAGCCGCGATAAGATGTATCCGCCCGGTGAGGAATTCCTAAGCGGAGCCGCGCTCACGGCGCTCCTCTCTTCGATCCATTAAACGGTTTTTACGAGACACGAGTGTGCTCGAGACGGATCGGCGCTTTAGCGACTTGCTCATTGACCAAGGGACGCTGGGTATTTCGAAAAGAATGTCGTAGAGCCGGAGAAGGTAGGACAGCATAGTGCCTAGAGTGGGAAATCTAGTAGAATAGATGGACCGGTGTTTTACATAGTGCACGTCGATTAGGAATTTATAGAATATTCGATAGAGGTCTGCAAAATTATATAGAATAAGTGTGAATAAAAGAATTAACTAAATGTTGGATACAATATTTATTTATTGAACTATGCTCGCGACTTTGAATGGGACCTGCAATTTTATATGTAATTTTATATTGTGTTAACGTGTTTTGTAGTGCCTGTTTTCTTCCGTTGAATGTAACATATATCGTACTATGTATAAATGAACTTGAATAAATAAATCTAGATTTTACTATATAATAAGTACAATAAAAATTAAATATAGTATAATCAGAAACGATCAGAGAGAGATAACATTTGAAGAAATATAAATGAGAAAATATAGAGAATAAAAGAGTAGGAGCCCCATTAAATTTTTATTCTTTGTATTCGCAGTGTGAAGAAGTTTTTTTTAACAGCTAAAATTACACGTTCCAATTTTATTTCGGAAAAATCTATTCGAAAGTTAATTTCATTTTTTCTATTCTTGTTCCTAATAAACATGATCAAGTGATTCATTTGAATACTAAGCTGACACTTGCCTTTTCAAACGCACGTATTTTATAAGCAGGCGACCGTGATTTCTGTCCGAGTGTTGATGAATTTCTGGGGATTAATTAAAACAATGAGGTACGCGAGGCGATTTTTCTCAACCAGTTTCAAGTGGCAGGGATATTTAGCTTGGTCTAATAGCCCGAAGCACGCACCCGGAAACGGATAACGTGCACATAGATCGGATCTCGCCTTCGACCGCGTGCGAAAGGCTGTGAAAAAAAAAACTATCGCGCATAACAGGATGCGCCGGACACGTATCTCTCGATCGAAATGGACAGCGTCGATATGGCATCGCTTACTGCGACGATAATGTTCATCCCCGCGAGGCACGGAACGGACAATAATGTACATTCGCAATTACGGAACACCGAGGCGGTAACGGAACTTTTATTACGAGAGACGCCGCGCGAGTGGCGATCAAATAATAACGCATCTCGAAAGAAAATGCGCGATGCGCTCGAATCCAAGTCCATCTAATCGTTTCATCTTTATCGGCTCATCAAAAATTGCTTGCGGAATGTATTTTTAGACGACCTATGCAATCACTCTTCTATCACCGTAGAAATAGCAGGCTCGATACCGGAAAGAAAGACGCGACGAGATGATGAGAAAAATCATTAGTAAATGCCGCTATTAAACTTGTAAAAAAACCGTACTTTGAACAGTTCATTGTATCGGTGGAAGAGTCGGGATTGGTGCTTTTAATCAAATTATATGTTATCAACGTCTTTTTTCCTGCGATTGGCCAATCAAGACGGTGAACGTGCCGAATGTTTGATCGATCGTAACGGTGGGCATCCTGCGGATTTAGACGCGGCTTTTTAACATATAATTTGATTTAAACGCCAGGTGTAGACCCTAATAAAAATTGTAAAAGGACAGAGAAGGAGAGAGAGAGAAAGAGAGAGACGCGTGTCTCTCTAATCAGCGCCGGTGGAATGCCGGCTCTAAGTAGATCGACCTGGGCCGCCGCCAAGTTTCGCACGAAATTCTTCGGCGTACAAGTTCAAGGCTCGCAGGGCGGCATGGACACCTTCAAGGTCACCGAGTGTGCAAATACCGTGATATTATGGTCGCGCAAGTGCGGCGGCTTTCTCATTGTCGGCCGAGTTCGGTCGAGATCTGACATAAGTGCACCGGGAACCCGGTCGATGCTATATAATCAATCGGCCTAATAGCGCCCGGCCGAGAGCCGGAGCATCCTCCTCCGCCGTATTTCTCGACGAGAAAGAGAGAGTTCCTGCGCCCCCCCCTCCTCCCCCTCACCGCTCAGGTAGCCGGAATTACTCAATGGAAATAGCGGAATTAGTCATCGGGCGTGACTGTGAATCACGGCGGCGCCCAAATTTTCTGTCATGATCGCAGGTAGAAAATACCTTACGAAATGGAGGGACGTTCTCGCGAGGTTGGACCGTCGAGGCTGGACCGCCCGTTGAAGTCAGTCTACGAGTGAGCACGTCGAGCTTCGGTGCGAAGAAAATTTACGAAATGATTGATATCGTTACTGAGAAAAAGTATTTCTTTCAAAACGTAACGCTCGCAACGCAAATACTCGCCGGATAAAAATTACGTTATTGATCTACGCTCCGCGCGTATTGCACGAGGCAACAATTTGAACGGAGAAACGAGGGGTGGTTCTATTGCGTGAGAAAATGTATGAAATATATAACATAAAATTATTTACAAATGTAAAGATTACTTGGTGTATTTAAAAAGGAACGGCTTATTTATTCTTAGCGCACGTTTCCGCAATCACGTTGATAATAATGACAAGTGGAACAATCTGTGCAAATCGGAGGCTGAGAGCTAATCGCCGCGATGGGAAAAAAAAAAAGCTGCCGGCTTGTTAATCGTCCGGCGGATACGCGACCCGGAACATGAATATTTCTAATTCCGCGTAATCGTACGTCATGTACAAACAAGGAAGGCGTAATCACGATATGCCAGTGTGTCGCATTACTAATAACGTAACTATTTTATGCCGCTTATTCAGATTGTTTTATTCCGAATGGAACGGAAGGCGGCACGTTACGTTGCATCAGTGGAGCATCGTGTACAATGACCGTGATACGAGTAAGGTAGCCGGGGAGTATCGATCGCGTCACTGGTAATTATGCGGGCCAAACCCTTCGCAGTGGTACCATCGCGTACCACTTTAACCCGCTGTTTAACGATTCGCCGTTTAGCATCCCGCAAACACGGATAAACATTGACAGACCGAATTATAGCAAATTAGCCTTTTTGTGGCTAAATAAGATGCGGCGTTCGATAAACAGTCACAGACAGCTTTGTCCGTCCCGCGAATTCGTGAATTTTCGCTGGTTGTAATTTTATTACAAGTGACAAATTAATGGCATAAAGTAACTGTTTTTTTTTTAAACAAGACGAATATATTCTATGCAACGATTGTATGCACAGAAATGGTAGGTGCAAATTAAAAAAAATTTTTAATAAGTTTCTGCTTCAATCGAATTTTTAATAAGCCTGTAAAGTCACGTACTCGTATACACTCTGACGGAAATTATTGATACAAGTCCTATAATGACAGGTAAAAGTTAAAAGTTGTCGAACGAAACGACAAATAACAAATTACGAATGCTAAGCTGTGAATCACGAACAGTGTGGTAAGTAATAACGAATGTCCAACGAATTTCTGCGAATCACGAATCATGAATCGCGCATTACGAATTGCGCATAGTGTGGCGCTAACTTAACGGCGCGCAGCTCTGGGAAAAAAAAGACAGTTAAGCAACACATTTTGGGGCCCACAATTAGTAATCGAACTATTTGGATCGTAACTCTATTCTGGGAAAAATTTTGACCGTTTTTCTTTGTAGTTAAGCAACTTAACATTTCGGCTGGTGCGTGAAAAGTATCTTTGCGTTACTGAATATCGATAGAACTAATTGAGAGAATTGATTAGTACTACTTAAAAATCTTGGATATAGATAGAATAGCTAATTGCGACTTTTAGTTATGCGGGGTAAAATTCGTAAAATTAGAGTTGCGAACAATCCAAATAATTCGATTACTAATTGTGGGCCCCAAGATAGCTTAACTGTCTTTTTTTCCCCCAGAGAGGATAGGTGGAAAACGGCATATGAATTCATATATTAAATTAAGATTATTGGGCTATCTGCATCTTGCACGGACCTAAAATTTGGCGGTCTCGTTTATTTGATTTGTATCGTAATGACCCTAATTTAACTCAGTTTGTTAAAAAAGATATATATACAGGGTGGCCCCGAACTTTCCAGCCAAACTTAGAGATTTTATAGGAAATTTAATTCTGAATAAAAGGTTTCCTGTAAACATGGGTCGAAAAGTGCTTCCTTGGAAAGTTAGCACCCAAAAACTTTTGAAATCACTGTTATGTTATACATTTTTGCAAATATAAAAAAAAGTATGCATTTTTTAATAAAAAGTACCGAAACGAAAGTTGAGCAAAAGGTATAAAAAAATGAAATAAAAGGGAAATGATACTTAATAAGTTTCTTGAAAAAATAATTAAAAATAAAAATAAAAATCCCTTTCATAAAAACAAAATAATTCTTTTTAAACAAAAATAGTATTGTAATATAATAAAAAATGAACAAACACTTGAAAAAACTAATTATTATCAAAATGTCCCCTTCCAACTTCAATACACTTTTGACATATATATGTGAATTATCGCAGTATCAAAAAGTTGTAATAGTTGCGTTTATAATTTTGCGGTTTGAGGGAACACCTATATACATTTAATTTACTTCCTTTATCGAATTGACGAGATCCACAATCGCGGAGTACGCGAGTATAGGAAAGAGACTCGTAATCCGACACGAGTAATAATTCTTCGTCGTCGCTTATCTGCGAATTGACGCCGGACAGAATATTCACGTCTATAAAGCTGTCGGTTCCACGTAAGACTGTATTTCTTCAACGCGCGATAACGACGCATTATTAAA